AGTTTCCTTGGCATGGCCGGATACTATAGAAGATTCATTGAGGGGTTTTCTCTGATTGCTGCACCATTGACAAAGTTACTGAGGAAAGAGCAATCTTTTATATGGGATAATAAATGTCAATCCAGTTTCGAAGAGTTGAAGCAGAAGTTAACCACTGCACCGGTTCTTGCCCTTCCCTCAGGAACTGGAGGTTATGTGGTATACAGTGATGCTTCGCATCAAGGGTTAGGATGTGTTCTCATGCAGCATGGTAAAGTAATTGCTTATGCTTCCAGGCAATTACGACCGTATGAGAAATCTTATCCGACTCATTATTTAGAACTGGCGGCGGTGGTATTTGCCTTAAAGATTTGGCGTCATTATTTGTACGGTGAGACTTTTCAGATCTTTACTGATCACAAGAGTCTCAAGTACTTGATGGAGCAAAAAGAGCTAAATCTTAGGCAAAGGAGGTGGTTAGAGTTGTTGAAAGATTACGACTGTACCATCGAATACCATCCAGGCAAAGCAAATGTTGTGGCAGATGCTTTGAGTCGAAAGACCAAGCATCGTACTAGAAATGAGGAGACTAGTTTAATGGCAAATTTTATTTCTTTGAGAGCTATGGGTGTTGAATTGGAAATGAATTCCGCAGGAGGGTTATTGGCGACTTTACAAGTGCGACCAATTCTGAGAGAAAGAATCATTAAAGTTCAGGGTCAAGACCCTGAATTGAGGAAGATTATTGATAAGAGTCGTAAAGGGGAAGAAACCAAATTCACACTTCGAGATGGAGTTCTGACACTAAATGAAAGACTTTGTGTTCCAAATGTGGACGAATTGCAAAGGGAGATTTTGGAAGAAGCTCTTTCCTCTCCTTATGCAATGCATCCTGGAACTACAAAAATGTACCGTTCGTTGAGACCTCATTATTGGTGGCCAAGGATGAAGAAAGAAGTGGATGAACATGTCTTGATGTGTCTGGTATGTCAGAAAGTGAAAGCGGAACATCAAGCCCCAGCGGGAAAATTGCAACCACTGTCCATTCCAGAATGGAAATGGGAAAAGATTACCATGGACTTTGTCTATGGCCTACCTAGGACTCAGAAGAAGAACGACGCCGTTTGGGTTATTGTGGACCGATTGACAAAGTCGGCTCACTTTATACCCATTAGATGGGGTTATTCGCTAGAGATATTGAAAAAGAAGTATGTGGAGGAAATAGTGAGACTACATGGAATACCAGTATCCATCGTCTCTGACAGAGATCCGAGGTTCACCTCTCGATTCTGGAAGAGTTTACAAGAAGCACTAGGTACTCGTCTGAACTTTTCAACCGCTTTTCATCCCCAGACCGATGGTCAATCCGAGCGAACAATCCTCACTCTTGAGGAAATGTTGCGAGCTTGTGTACTGGATTTCCAAGGTTCTTGGGATGAACATTTGCCACTGATTGAATTTGCTTATAACAACCAGTACCATAGTAGTATTGGTATGGCTCCATATGAAGCTCTATATGGAAGGAAATGCAGATCCCCATTGTGCTGGGATGAAGAAGGGTTAAGGCAATTGGAGGGACCTGAAATCGTTCAGGTGACAGTGGATAAGATTAAAGTGATCAGAAGCCGGTTGAAGGCCACACAAAACCGGCAAAGGAGATATGCTGATATCCACCGAAGAGAGATGGAATTTCAGAGTGGAGAGAAAGTATTTTTGAAAGTGTCTCCTTGGAGAGGTGTTCTGAGATTCCAGAAGAAGGGTAAGTTAAGTCCGAGGTATATCGGCACCTTATGAGATTCTGGAAAAGATAGGTCCGGTAGCCTATCGACTTGCCTTACCACCTGAATTGTGTCAAGTTCACAATGTCTTCCATGTGAGTTTGCTTCGAAGATACCGATCGAATCCGTCTCACGTACTGGAACCAGATAAGATTGAGGTCCAGAAAGATCTAAACTATGTGGTGGAACCAAAAGAGATTGTGGACCGAAAGGTGAAACAACTTAGGAATCGAAGTATTCCTATGGTGAAAGTAATTTGGAAAAGCCACACTGGAGAAGAAGCCACGTGGGAGACGCAAGAAAGCATGAGAGCACAATACCCCTACTTGTTTCAAGGTAAATTTCGGGACGAAATTTTATTTAGAGGGGAGGAAATGTAACATCCCTACCCTCGTACTAATTATTACGTTATAATTACGTGGTTGTGATTGGGTTACAAAAATTGGTCTTTTGAACCGAAAAGTAAGTGAATAGTTGAGTTTTGGACTTAACTGTCAGGAAAGGAAAGTTGGGGAACCTAAGTGTAAGATATGGATGGTTGGAGGATTGAAGGGAGATTTTGGGGAGATAAAAATCTGCCCCATCCTCTTATCTCTCATTTTCTTCTCATCCCTTCCCCTCACTCTCTCCCACATCTCTCTCTCTTGCTCTCTTTCTTCCACCTGCTTTCACCCCCCAAAACCACCATCCCCTTTTCAGAAACAAGTGGTAGATAGATAGAGAGAAAAGGATATCAAGAAAAGAAAGAAGAGGGGAAACAAGGGGTGCTGCCAATTTTCGTCCAGCAGCAGGACAGCTTGTGGGAAGGACGATTCTGGACACTTGAGCCGTTGGATCATTCGGATATTTGGAGGTTTTGTTCCATATGTCCTTGTCTACGATTGGACCGTTCGGATCATTGTTATAATCTCTGGTTAATCTAGGATCGTCGCTGGACAGAAGGGGTGCGACATTGCTTTCATGTAGCAGGGAAGCAGATTAGAGGTAAGATCTTGTACGGAGTAGCCGTTGGATCTTTCTAGAAATTTGGTATAATGTTAATTATATATGTTTCTTTGAGTTGACCGTTCGGATCTTAGTTTTGAGTTCGAAGTGGTCAGGAACAATTGTTAGAACTAGGGGAGTTGGATTGAAGTGAGAAGAAAGTAGCTGACAGTTTCAAAACGTCAATTTAAAATGATTTCTGGGCTCAAAATACTGATCCAAATGGTCTGAAATTTGGATATGCTGTAGCACTATGAATCTAGTTTCAGTAGCAACAAGAATCAACTGATTTGGTTAAGTATCAAGGGAGAAATGACCGAAATGATGAAGCAGGGTAATGAGTGCGGTCGTATGACTTCCCTAGTGGCCTTATCGACATGCATGAGCACAACCATGATTTTGATGACTGTATACGTATCTTGGTGCTTGAATAACCCGGAAAATTTGTATATAAAGGTAAGGAGCAAGGCGGGGGCTCATCCAAATGCAAGGGTATAGCCGAGTGAAGATAAAACGGTGAGTAGATTCTAATCTTAGATCTACTTAAACATAATCACAGTATTCGGGTCATGAAGCGGCCCGAATACATATCGGGGTCATGAGGAGGCTCCGGTATAATATGGGAATTTATGGGAAATGATATGGCAATGTGATATGGCGTATGGGTGTTTATTCCTATGGCTATTGTGATATGGCGTATGGGTGTTTATTCATTATCTGCATTTGGTATGAAGTTGGAAATGCATGAATTGTGAATGGGATATGGAAAGACATTTTGTTGATTTATTGTGTGGATTATGAGTAAGTACTCGAACTTGCGAACCCGTCTTGTCTGTTTAGATTTGGAGTAAGCCATTAGGCTTACTAATCCTGTTTGGCTTAATTTGTATATAAAGGTAAGGAGCAAGGCGGGGGCTCATCCAAATGCAAGGGTATAGCCGAGTGAAGATAAAACGGTGAGTAGATTCTAATCTTAGATCTACTTAAACATAATCACAGTATTCGGGTCATGAAGCGGCCCGAATACATATCGGGGTCATGAGGAGGCTCCGGTATAATATGGGAATTTATGGGAAATGATATGGCAATGTGATATGGCGTATGGGTGTTTATTCCTATGGCTATTGTGATATGGCGTATGGGTGTTTATTCATTATCTGCATTTGGTATGAAGTTGGAAATGCATGAATTGTGAATGGGATATGGAAAGACATTTTGTTGATTTATTGTGTGGATTATGAGTAAGTACTCGAACTTGCGAACCCGTCTTGTCTGTTTAGATTTGGAGTAAGCCATTAGGCTTACTAATCCTGTTTGGCTTGAATAACTCGGAGTCAGCTCCTCAACTTACATTCCATTCTATGGTGACTGAGGGTGCAAAAGCACTATGAATGCTTTTGAGCCTCTAGTGTCTAAGTGAACTATTAATGAAAAGAGGAGAATTCATAAGAATAAGTAAAAAGGCTTTATGGTATCTCGGTACAGTAGTGTGTCCTGTTTGTATCGATGTGGGTAAACCCCACGATACTCCTGTTTGAGCGCTCGTGCTCCGCACCGTGCCGATTGGGTGACGACCCACGGTACTCCTGTTCTGTTCAGTTAGCCGGGCTGGGGTAATCCCGTGGTGATGCTCTAAAACACAACACCTAACAATGGCCAAGTCTAACCAATGAAAGGGACTGCAGTATAGTGGCACAAGTAATAAATATCGAATCCACGGGTCTCTAGAGTTACTATTACTCAGCTTCAGTTCATTATCTAGCAAACTAGATTAAGGGTTGATTAACTAAACTACTCTACTAACTCAACTAAGTAAAACTACTAATTACAGTTTGGGAACTCACTTAGGTATGATTCCCCCTAGCTCCTCAATTAGGTCCAAGTTGTAATTCATTTTGGTTGATTTACTGTTGATTAAACTGCGGAAGATCCGACAGTAGCTTAGAATCTCTTAAGCTGACCAAGCCCTCTCAGTCTAACTATCCGGCATACGACTAGTCTTCACCGGGATAGAAAGCTGAAGCAATAAGCAGAACTCCACTACTGGAATTGGATTCCAGTACAAAGCAGTAAACTGGCTAACTCTCGTATAGCCAATCTCCTACTACCGAATGATGAGACTCTAGCAACCTAATCAGATTCTATCCATCTCAGATTGCAGCAGGAATCAGGAAAAGTTGATCAGACTTCAATTGACTCAATAAACATGCATCATTCGATTATAATCAAACAATATAGCATCCAAAACTTCATACAAGAAAGATCCTAACTCATGGAACTAAGGTTCCTCAAAACCTAAGTGAAGGGAAGTTACTCCATAGAGAAGAGAGAGACTGCAGAAATCTGATCTAGATCTTCAATCTCCATCTCCAAGCTTGATTCCCGAGCTTCAATGGCGAAGAAATCCTCCAAAATAGCTCCAAGAATGTTCCCAAGTCGCTCTCTCTCTCTAGGGTTCGTCCCTTGGGTGTTTGGGATCCAAAACCCAGCTCTCCCTCCTCTTTGGTTCGGAATTTGGCTTAAAACCAGGAAATCCCGACTCGCACGGCCAGGGTGCACGGCCGTGCATATCACCATTCTGGCCGTGCAACTCAAAACGCAGCGTGTCATTTAGTCGAACTTCAGCCCTCTCGCACGGCCAGGGTGCACGGCCGTGCGAGCTCCAGGGGTTGCCCATGCGTGTCCTCGGCATAAGGCGCACGGCCATATTGCTCACGTGCACGGCCGTGCAGCCTCCCTGGTCTGCCCTTGCAGCTCCCCAAAAACCTCGCCATTCGTCCGTTCTTCGTCCAATCGACCCCAGACTCGCTCCTAAGCCTTCATTCACGTACTAGGACCTGAAACATCACAAACAAGCACAACCTAGCGTGAAATCAGCCTAAAACACGAGAATCAACACCTCAAACGGTGTAAGAATGGGGGTAAAAACATGTGTAAATGACGGTCTATCAAACTCCCCCACACTTAACCGTTTGCTTGTCCCCAAGCAAACCTAACTCAAACCAATGCAACTCTCCAGACCTCTATAGCAACAAACAACCCAGATCGTAGGTAGAGGACTTCCTAGATCATTTAGCAACTTACGAGGTCAACCGACGCACAAGTCATCTCATAACTTCTTCGGCGAGTCGGCATCACGGCAAATAGTGAACAGAGGACAAATGAATTGTGGATGAAGAGATTCTCAAAAACAAAAGATCATGGACTCACATTTTTCAAGGTGCTCTATTTTATTCTTGAAGATGGTTGGAACCCCCTTTTTTTCTATTTTGCTTGTTTTCTGTTATTTTTCTTTTCTTTTCTTTTCAAGGGTCCCAACCTGCTCTTACCGGCCATGCCAGGAGCGGGTGTCTCGAGCCTCGTGCGGGGGAAAGACATGTAAGGGGGCTGGAGGTAGTAGGTGGAAATTGGGAACGAATTCCCGTCTCCCCTTACACACTTTCGCCCTATTCGCACGGGAGACGTTATTTGAAGCACATTTTCGAGCACCTGTTAAACTCAAAACATGATACAAGAGTCCATGACAGGCAGAGAATCCACAACACCACACAATTCAAGGGTCCTAAGATCACTAATTCACTCAATCAACCAACACAATATGAAGAAGAAACGAGACTTCTTAAATGCATCAACATCCTCCATAGTGCTACACTACCTCCCTAGGTTGCATATTACTATAAAGACTGTCAATTCAAAGCATACTGAGCAGGCAATTGCAAGGAAACACGTACTTGGAGTCCTCAAATTTAAAAATTTGGACAGTGGACTAGGCTCCAAGCACACAAACAGCCAAACATTCACCCGCATACATAATCGAACACCCCCCCACACTTAAGCACGACATTGTCCTCAATGGAGGAAAGATAAGGAGGGTTGAACGAAGTTACCAGATCAAGGGTGAATGATGATGTACGGGTCAGGCAGTGCAGTCCAGGAAGAGAGAGTAATCAGAACACAAACACCACACAAAATCTCACAAAGGTTGAGTTATTGACTCTAAAATCAAATAACAAAACTGACTCAACCGAGGAGAAATAGAGAAAGAAATGCAAACCGACTGGTTGGGTTGCCTCCCAACAAGCGCTTCTTTCACGTCGTGAGCCGGACGATGGCTCCTAAGTTTCGGTCCATGCTAGAACCTCCTTGAAGTTGAGGTTCTCGTCGATGAGGTGGAGTCTCAAGTCACGAGCATGTGGTGTGGCAGGTGATGAAGGCTCATGTACTTGATGCAGATGAAGTCTCCACCCTCGAGACCTCTTCTTCTCTTCTCTCGTCTCATTGCCCCAAACCAGATATGACAGCATCGATTGGCCACCATCGCGTCCACCAAGAGGGACCGATGTCGATGTGGCCTTGGTCTGGCAAAGAGACACTGCAAATGGGTCCTTGCCAAGCAGTTCCTCAAAGTTTGGTGGGGATATTACTTGCAACTCATGGCCGGTGCATGCCTCTTCCACCTCAACTTCATCCTCAGCCTGGACGCCAATTGCTTCCTCAACCCCCCTTCCTTCTTCAAAATGTGGTCTCTCCCCTGGGAAAAGATCAAGAACCACCTCTTCTTTTCTTTCTTCCTCATCATCCACAACTTTCTTCCTCATCCTTGCTCGCTCTTCTTCTTCTAGAACAGATTGGAGAGCAAGTCGCCAAGCAATTTCTTCAATGGGATCATCTTGCATCTCCTCGCACGGGCCCAACATGTTAGAGCATAAATGAGGAAAGGTGTGGTCTGCAACCAAAGGACTTTCCTGATCATGGTTATCATGGGAGTTCTCTGTGATAACTTCTGTATGCTCCTCAACGCTCCCATAGCCTTTGTCATCCTCCACCTCTTCTAGCGTGGCAGCAGAAAGGTGATCTTGAGCAAGATGTGAGCAAACTTGCTTCACCCACTCTGTTTGCTTCGCTGAGCGCTGAACAGTCTCCTCCATATCATGGAGAAATGAGGGATCGGAAGTGGCAAGGGCTTTGATTTGAAGATCCATCTTGGAGCATGATTTCTCAGTGTCTCGAGCAAACTGCTCCACGAGAAGCCTTAATTGTTCGTTCGGATCTTCCAGTGAAGTGTAGCATGGCTCTGCAGAGTGGCCCGTGAAGGCCGCCATGGGTAACTCCAGCTCCGATGGCCCTTCTGGTTGTGGGAGAAAGTCTTCTTGGTAATGAGGTTGTTCTTGATATGCCCAGGGGTCTGATTGTTCTCCGTAGTAAGGGGGTTGGTACTGGAACCCGAATCCATAGTCTTCTCCTCCTTGATTGCTGTAGGGAGTCACGGGGTAATACCACCCGGATGGTGGTGGATACCCCCAATGATTGGAGAAGCCATTAGGATCCATGATTCAGATCTGCACCAACAAAAACAAAAACACCCAAGTGAAAAGAAAGGGTGGAAAAGAAAAGAAAAACGCTAAAGTAACAAACTTCTGCCTTTCCTAATACTCTAGAAAGTCCCCGGCAACGGCGCCAAAAACTTGATGCTCTAAAACACAACACCTAACAATGGCCAAGTGTAACCAATGAAAGGGACTGCAGTATAGTGGCACAAGTAATAAATATCGAATCCACGGGTCTCTAGAGTTACTATTACTCAGCTTCAGTTCATTATCTAGCAAACTAGATTAAGGGTTGATTAACTAAACTACTCTACTAACTCAACTAAGTAAAACTACTAATTACAGTTTGGGAACTCACTTAGGTATGATTCCCCCTAGCTCCTCAATTAGGTCCAAGTTGTAATTCATTTTGGTTGATTTACTGTTGATTAAACTGCGGAAGATCCGACAGTAGCTTAGAATCTCTTAAGCTGACCAAGCCCTCTCAGTCTAACTATCCGACATACGACTAGTCTTCACCGGGATAGAAAGCTGAAGCAATAAGCACAGAACTCCACTACTGGAATTGGATTCCAGTACAAAGCAGTAAACTGGCTAACTCTCGTATAGCCAATCTCCTACTACCGAATGATGAGACTCTAGCAACCTAATCAGATTCTATCCATCTCAGATTGCAGCAGGAATCAGGAAAAGTTGATCAGACTTCAATTGACTCAATAAACATGCATCATTCGATTATAATCAAACAATATAGCATCCAAAACTTCATACAAGAAAGATCCTAACTCATGGAACTAAGGTTCCTCAAAACCTAAGTGAAGGGAAGTTACTCCATAGAGAAGAGAGAGACTGCAGAAATCTGATCTAGATCTTCAATCTCCATCTCCAAGCTTGATTTCCGAGCTTCAATGGCGAAGAAATCCTCCAAAATAGCTCCAAGAATGTTCCCAAGTCGCTCTCTCTCTCTAGGGTTCGTCCCTTGGGTGTTTGGGATCCAAAACCCAGCTCTCCCTCCTCTTTGGTTCGGAATTTGGCTTAAAACCAGGAAATCCCGACTCGCACGGCCAGGGTGCACGGCGTGCATATCACCATTCTGGCCGTGCAACTCAAAACGCAGCGTGTCATTTAGTCGAACTTCAGCCCTCTCGCACGGCCAGGGTGCACGGCCGTGCGAGCTCCAGGGGTTGCCCGTGCGTGTCCTCGGCATAAGGCGCACGGCCATATTGCTCACGTGCACGGCCGTGCAGCCTCCCTGGTCTGCCCGTGCAGCTCCCCAAAAACCTCGCCATTCGTCCGTTCTTCGTCCAATCGACCCCAGACTCGCTCCTAAGCCTTCATTCACGTACTAGGACCTGAAACATCACAAACAAGCACAACCTAGCGTGAAATTGGCCTAAAACACGAGAATCAACACCTCAAACGGTGTAAGAATGGGGGTAAAAACATGTGTAAATGACGGTCTATCACGTGGCGACTCCTGTTTTTGTATCGGTCCGGGTTGTGTCCCGCGATACTCCTGTTGGTGCGAGCACTCTTGTTTCGTGCCTTGAGCACTCCTGTTTCGTGCCTTGAGCACTCCTGATTCGTGCCTTGTGCACTCCTGTTTGTACCGGATGGGGTTTTGTCCCGTGGTACTCCAGTTATCTGATGGCTGTACATGGTTATCCTGCAGCCTTCCACTACTGTACTACCCGAGGAGTATATCATTTAGCAAGTCTGAAAGTGAAATTGTATAAGCAAAATGCCTCTATCTGTCATCTGTTTATGTATTTTGACTGTGGAATGTGAGCATGTGAACTGGATTGATTCAGTAAAATGACAAGTGGGATAAACCGCTTAAGTCCTGTTATGTGCTAGGGTGTTTCTGCCCGATACTGTTTTTGTATTGATGTCGATGTGAGCTTAGAATTTATTCACTAAGCGACGACTCATCCTTCGTCACCATTTTTCCTCAGATCAAGAGTAGAAGTAAGGCGTGTACTGTAGATATCGGGACTCAAGCTTGAAGGGAAGCCATGAGGTGGGCGGAGGACTCCGAACTCCTTGAATGTTTTATGTTGTGTGGATTTTGTAATAAAGCAGAATTCCCCGGTTTTCTGTTTCGACTCTATTGAAAATGTAAATTATAGTTTGAAGTTTGAAAAAAAATACATATATAAAGCTCGGGCCCGAGAATGTTTAAACTCGATGTATTTTACTGTTTCGTTTTGTAATTTAAAGTAAGGGTGTTACATGCTTCCAAAGGAAGCACCGAAGGGGCTGCCTCCTATTCGCAGAATTGAGCACCAGATTGATTTCGTGCCGGGAGCTCAAATTCCAAACAGGCATATCGAGCTAATCCATAAGAGACCAAAGAGCTACAAAGGCAGATTGACGAGCTCATGGAGAAGGGGCATGTTCGAGAAAGTTTGAGCCTGTGTGCAGTTCCGGTGATTCTCGTGCCAAAGAAGGATCACACCTGGCATATGTGTGTACACTGCCGAGCCATCAATCAAATTACAGTTAATTATCGTCATCCAATTCCACGATTAGATGATATGCTTGATGAATTACATGACTCTACGGTGTTTTCCAAGATTGATTTCAGATCAGGTTACCACCAAATTCGTATGAAGGAGGGAGACAAGTGGAAGACTGCGGTTAAGACCAAGAAGGGTCTATACGAATGGATGGTGATGCCCTTTGGTTTAACCAATGCTCCTAGCACATTCATGAGGCTGCTGAACCATGTTTTGAGGCCATTCATTGGCTAGTTCATGGTCGTATACTTTGATGACATTCTGATATACTCGAAGTGCATGGAGGATCATCTCAATCACTTGAGAGAGGTGTTGGCGATGTTGAGAAAGGAGAAATTGTATGCTAACCTCGAGAAGTGCTCGTTTTGCACTTCTAGTGTTATTTTCCTTGGTTTTGTGGTGAGTGCAGATGGAGTCAAGGTGGACGAAGAGAAATTGAAAGCAATTCGTGATTGGCCTATTCCAACCAACGTGAATGAGGTGCGGAGCTTTCATGGGCTTGTTGGGTTCTATCATCGATTTTTGCCCAATTTCAGCACCATTGTCGCACCATTGACATCCATCATTAAGAAGAACGTGACGTTCTATTGGGGAGAGAAGAAGACTAGAGCATTCGAGCTGCTCAAGCACAAGCTCACACACTCACCTGTCCTGATGTTGTCGGATTTCAATAAGACATTCAAGGTGGAGTGTGATGCTTCTGTTTTGGGAATTGGAGCAGTGTTGATGCAGGAGAAAAAGCCGATTGCTTACTTCAGCGAGAAGTTGAGTGGGGCTGCCCTCAACTATCCGATGTACGACAAGGAGCTTTATTCTCTAGTTCGAGCCTTAGAGACGTGGCAGCACTATCTTTGGCCGAAGGAGTTCGTGATTCACACTAATCACGAGTCGTTGAAGTATTTAAAGGCTCAACACAAGCTGAATAAGAGACATGATCGATGGGTTGATTTTATTGAATCCTTTCCATACGTGATCAAGTACTAGTAGGGCAAGGAGAACATAGTTGCTGATGCCCTATCTCTCGTTGATCACGACAATGGGGGATAAGTATTTGGGTTTCGAGCATATCAAGGAGCTCTATTCTGATGATGCTGACTTTGGGGAGATCTAGAGAGCTTTTGAGCAGCATGGTGATGGGAAGTTCTATCGAACTGATGGCTACTTGTTTCGAGCTAACCAGTTGTGTATTCCTCGATCATCACATCGAGAGTTGCTATTGAAAGAGGCTCATAGAGGAGGCTTAATGGCACATTTCGGTGTAGACAAGATGCTGAGTTGTCTACAAGAGCACTTCTATTGGCCGCATATGAAGGGAGACGTGGAGAATCTGTGTGCGAGGTGTGTGGAATGCAAGCAGGCCAAGTCGAAGGTGCAATCATCTAGATTGTACACACCACTGCTGATTCCATATGCTGCATGGATCGACATCTCTATGGATTTTGTGCTTGGTTTGCCGTGGACAAGGAAGGGAAGGGATTCAATTTTTGTGGTGGTTGATCGATTCTCGAAGATGGCACACTTTATCCCGTGTCATAAGACGGACGATGCTATTAACGTGGCTGATTTGTTTTTCAGGGAAGTGGTGCGATTACATGGGATGCCTCGTTATATAGTATCCGATCAAGATACTAAGCTTCTGAGTTCCTTTTGGAAGACATTGTGGAGCAAACTGGGGACAAAGTTGTTGTTCTCTACCACATGTCATCCTCAAACCGATGGGCAAACAGAGGTTGTCAATCGAACTCTGTCCCAGATGCCGCGAGTTATGATCAAGAGCAACATCAAAGCTTGGGAGGACTGCCTTCCCCACGTGGAGTTCGCTTACAACAAGATGTTGCACTCGACGACGAAGTTCACTTCGTTTGAGCTCGTGTATGGTTTCAATCCACTCACTCCTTTGGATTTGATGCCATTACCTTTGAATGAGCATGTCAATCTCGATGGAGCCAAGAAATCCGAGTTCGTAAAGAATTTACATGAGAAGGCGAGATTGAACATTGAGAGAAGGACAGAGCAGATCATGCGCAATGTGAACAAAAAATGGAAACCGAGGCACTATGAAGTTGGCGACTGGGTGTGGGTGAATTTGAGGAAGGAGAGGTTTCCCCAGCAGAGGAAATCAAAGTTGATGCCCCGATGTGATGGTCCTTTCCAAGTGGTTTCGAAGATTGGAAGCAACGCCTACAAGATCAACTTGCCGAGAGACTATGGAGTAAGTGCAACGTTTAATGTTTCTGACCTTGCAACTTATTTGGATGGCAATTCGAATTTGAGGGCAAATCCTTTTGAAGAAGGAGGGGTTGATGAGGACATCAATGGGCCAGTCACACGTGCTAAGGCAAGGACGTTGAATGAGAAGCTTGCGACATATTTGGAGAGCTACTTTGGAGCCATGGATGTGGAGCTATTTCGAGGGAAGCCATATATGATGATTCGAGTGGAGGAAGAAGGAGGAAGTGCTGAGGAGAAGGCAGATTGCAAGAAGTAGCCTTAACGGGTTTGCTTAATGGGTCCAGCCTTAATGGGTTTACTTAACGGGTCCAGGCTTAACGATTTGGGCTTAACGGGTTTGCTGGGCTGTTTTCGAGTTTCCATGTTTTAAAGTCTGTTTATGCTTTTTTCCATGTTTGAGTCGGATTTGGGTTGTACTTTGCCTATTTAAAGGGCTGAACACGTTGGTTTTCCTTTAGACAATTATTATTGAATTTCAGAGGCTATTGCCGAGTTCCCAACGCGGAATTTGCCCTAATTACTCTGTCGAGAATCTCCAGAGTGCTAGAGCGACTCTTATCAGCTAGGTATTCACCCTAGTTGTGGCGAGCTACCCATATCGATTTCCCTTTAGTCCAAGTTGAATCTGTCTGATCGATTCATATATCGATTGCCCTTATTCACGGGTGAGTACTGTCCGATCGATTTCCATCCTATCTGTTCTGTTTGGCTCGATAAGCTTGACCCTGTGCTACTTTGATTATATCAGGCTATTTCTTGGATGCCCATGAGACTGCTCCTCCAGTAAGGAAGAACACGTACCCACTAGTACTTTTCTTATCATCAATATCTCCAGCATAATCACTGTCTGTATACCCTAGCAGATAGTTCTCTCCATTCTTCCTCTGATACATGATGTCATGGCTCATTGTCTCTTTGATGCATCTTAGTACTATCTTGGCTGCCAGTAGGTGCTTCCATGTAACTGCTCAGCAAACATATAGAAAACATCAAATCTGTTCTTGTGGATGTAAGGTACAACATACTTCCAATAAGTTGCTTGTATTGAGTAGCATTCACCAAGCCACCTTCTCCTGTGTTTGATAGCTTTGTACCAGAAATAATGGGATTATGTACAAAATTGCAGTCAGACAGTGAAACCTTTCTAGAACCTCCTTTGCATACTTCTGCTGGCAGATGAATATCCCTGAGTCATTTTGCAGCACTTGAACCCCTAGAAAATACATTATTTCCCCAATATTAGTCATTTCAAACTCAGCTTCCATCGATTTCGTGAAGTCAACCACCATCTCAGGACTAGTACTAAAGACCAGCAAGTCATCCACATAGACACTCACAATCAGCATGCCCTTCTCGGTGTACTTATTGGAAGTGTTATTCTTCACTACTAGCCTAGCTTTATGCTTGTCCAAATCTTCACTTTCAGTGTACTTGGTCTTGTAAATCCACTTTAAGCCTATAGGGATCACACCAGGACAAACATTCAATTCCCAAGTGTTATTCTTCTTGATGCAATGCATTTCTTGTCTCATTGCTCTATTCCACTTCTCATCTGCAACAGCCTCCTCATAAGTCCGAGGATGATGCAGCCATAAGTACCTAGTCGCCTTGAACTTCTTCCATATGACCACAGTCATAGATAACTAGGTGGCCTGGTGGCTTCCTAGTCGTATGAGCAAGCTCAATACTTCTAGGAAGTCCGAGTACATCAGTGGTTATGGTGTCAGTATAATCTTCTAAAGCATCAAGCCATGCAATTGGTGATGGGGTGACAGGACTATAAACTTATTCTTCGTTCATATTTTCTTCGGTTTCAATTCCAGTTTCTTGACCAACAGGAGTATCTACTAACCATGGATCTTCTTCTCCATCTGAATCCTCAAAGGGATCCTCACTTCCTTCCCAAGTCAGAAAGGTGAGTACAGGTTGGATATCAAATTTCACTTCCAACCCTTCATTTCATCAAAAACCACATCACGACTCACCACAATCTTCTTAATTTCTGGATTGTAAAGCCTATAGGCTTTGGACTCTATGAAGATTCCTAGGAACTGACACACTATGCTTTTGTCATCTAACTTCTTCCTTAGTTAGTATGGGACATGGAAATAGCCAACACATCTAAACACTTTGAAGTGTGGAACTGAGTGGAGCTCCATTTCATAAATCCAGTGGAGTCTTTCCTTGGTTGGCAACCGTGGGACTCCTGTTTAGGACATGAGTTGTCTAGTTGACAGCTTCTGGCCAAAAACCAGCAAGTACCTGTGTAGCTTTCAGCCTACACCTAACCATGTTCATGGTTGTTCTATTTTTCCTCTCAGCCACCCCATTTTGTTGTGGGGTTAGAGCAGTTGTAAGTTGTCTTTTCATTCTAGTTTCATCACAAAAAGCTTGAAACTCATTCTCTCCTCCCCTATCTGTTCTAAGACACAAAACAAATTTTCCAGTTTCTTTTTCAACCTAAGCTACATACTTTTTGAACCATTTGATAGCTTCAGACTTAGCAGCTAACTAATAGACCCATAACTTTATGCTAAAGTCATCTATGAGAGTGAATACACACCTCTTACCCCCATTAGAGGCTGGAGTGAGAGGACCACACATATATGCATGCACAAGCTCCAGCCTTTTGTTGCCCTCCACTGAATTTTCTGGGGAAAAGCCTTTTTGGTTTGCTTGCCAAGTTGCCAAGTAGAACAAACCCCAACTTCTCATTTCAATACGGTATGCCTATGACCAAATTCCTTTGTTGCAACTGTTGAAGACTCTAATGATTAAGGTGTCCAAACCTATGATGCCACTGACTTAGAGATGTGTCTTTGGCATTTATGGTTTATAGACACTGAGTTTCATTTTATACAGCACTATGAATGTTG